CGAATTAGAATTTGGACGTTATTGCTTTCTTTTATATTTAACTGGTTTTGGACATAGGTAGATAGTTTACAGATTATGTAGTCTGTGATCTAAATAAAGTGTTATAATGTATGTGCGTGCTCCCATTTCACTAGGTATGCCTTTCTGATAGTCTCCTTCTTGTAAAATAAAATATTTAGCGAGTGACAGCTTTGGCAGAGATTTGACAGTCTTCTAGTCCATTCTACGACGTCATGAATTGCCGGTAAATGTCATATGGAGTCATTTTTTTTTTAGAAATGTTGACTTTAACAACCTTATTAGATAGATTTATTAGAACTGTCAAAATATAGTGTCAACGCTAGGAAGTAGATAGACTAGCTAGCTAGAAAAGATACCTAGAGTTTCACGCATAAAATATTCTAAGGGCATAAGAAGAAAATCTCCTCTTGGCACTTTGATAAATGATGGGATTTTTGGATATGTTTACAAAATTAATTAAGACAGATGACGTAAAACGATTACTCATAGGTAGTTACATGTAGGTATCTATTGTTTTTACTAGGTATATAAGTACATAATTTAAATGGTAATTGCTGGTAAACATCTTAGAATGCCACCAATAAGATTGGTTTCTTATTGTTAATAATAATAAATCGAATTATAAGTTTGAGCCGTTCACTAGGATTTGCACAAGCTATAATACACACACCTACTTTAGATAGAAACTATTATTGGCCTTGAATGTGTTTAATTGCGAAAGAACAAAACAAATAATTGATTTATCTAGGTTATGAGACATTATTAAATAAAATTCTAGCACAAGCAACCGAAATAAAGCTAAAATTTTGATCGAAATCCATTCATTCATAGAAATAACATCAAATAATCGGATATTCATATTTCTATTACTCTATCGTAAAATATTAGTCACTGGGCATTAATCAATACCGCGGCCATAATGATTAACCTAAGCTTTGATTTGAAAATGGAACGCGCGATTTCGCGCCAAAATTCGGCAAAGACCGCGCCTCACATACGAGCTCCGCCCCACACACGCTAGCCAATCGCACGACTCTAAACACCCTCGCGCAACACGCATATTGATCTGCGGACACAGCTCGAACCGTTTACATTTCGACATATCACATGCTAAACACCGACAAACAATAATATATGAGCTAAGTGTGTGCTATTTTAAACTCTATCGCAATGTAGTAGAGTGTAAAATAAATTGCATAAGTTTCGAGTAGTTACGATTTTTTGTGTTTGGGTGAACGTATAATTTATTACTCTCATTTACAATAACGAAAAGGCACTTTGTTGGATTGACAATAAGAACGTTTTTTGTGTATGATGATGCGCAAGTAAAAATTAAACTAAATTTAATATTTTAATAAATGATTTTTCATAATAGTAATAATATAGTTTTGTGTCATATGTTTTCGGTTATTGTATATTCATTACGATACTCAACGATATTGAGAAAAATTATGTAAGTAATGAAATGATCAGCTTTAAACAAACGAAAAAAAATGTTTTGAACCCTCTTAAACTAAAACAGTATGGACAAATAATGTCTGTAAAATTTATATGTAATTCGTTTAAGCTTAGAATTGAAAAAGTCTTGATCAGTGAAGGCGCGATACAAGGGTCATCTGTAGTTTTATTTGTAAAACTTTTATCTAAAGCATAACGTACCGCCATAAACTTTAGTTTCTCTACTAGTCACCAGATGGCAGTTATCCTAATTTACTACTAATTTAAGGTTTTGTTACGAATGATGGGCCACCAGACCATATCTACAACGTAATAACAAAAGATAGTTTAACCCTAAAGCAACTAACATGCAAATACTACTTTCTTAAAATAAAATAATCTCTTGTCAACTGTCTCAAAGAACAAAAATAAATAAAATAAAACATGTCTCCTGTCTTTGTACATGAACGCCATCTAGGTAATCTCAAATAAAATTTCATTAATATCTAATAGTCGGAATTTGGCAGGTTCAGCAACGTAACATTGTTATTATAGATGGCGTTAAGCTCAAATTAATATTTAAGCCAACCGTTACTTGTTATATATAACAATTATTAGGTAGTAGGTCCAATGATAATATTTATAGAACACTACATTCATTAGCTATGGGAATATTTTTTATTATAACCATTTTTACCTCAATAAACGTAGAGTTTTTATTAGTCGGTTATTTTTAATCTCATCCTACCTAGTTATTATAGATGGCGCTTAACTCAAATTACAATAGAAAACTTAATAAACTATTTAGGTCTTCTATAAGTTCTATAGGGGTTTAAACTCTATTTTGACTAGCTATTATTTTAGTCTCTAAATAAACATTTCCTTTTATAAATGACTATACACAAATACATTTTGTTTTCAGAGTACCCAACTACCGACAAGGCAGCGCTACGTGGTGTCGTGTGTCTCAGATACAACAAAGAAATTTAATCAAAATATTTATTATGGTTTAGATTAAGTAGGGATGTGAAAAAATAATCGCGATTTTTTAAAAAGTAAAAATCGATTTTTTTACGCGATTTTTATATTTAAAATAATCGATTAATAATCGATTATTTTTATAATTGAAAATCAGACATAATCGATTTTTTATCTGCCACCTCCCGACATTATGTCTGGTCTTTTATAACCCGGACCTCGAACTATTAGGGATATTCGATACACAACGATGTTTACAATGCGATACATTGAATCCGATTCTTTTATCTACTAGTAGTAGAAGTATTGATATACTCGATTCATTGATTTTTTTTGTAAAACATCAAAAGGATGATAAAAGCAGTTAATTTTACAAAAACTTAAGATTGAATGGATCACTATAATTTAAAAGTAAAATAATTTTTTTCAGCAGCACAAGACTACATACAATTAAAAAGACAACAAAAATACAGCAATGTGCTACTGAAAAGGAATACACTCAGCATTTATCAAAATCTATCAAAACGAGATTAAGTTAATTTCGATTTTGATTATTCTTAAACGTTAATTTGTGTTTATAATTTCTATTGTTTATTTTTAATTTAAAAAACTATGAAAAATAAAATATTTAGGGTGTTTATTTTGAAATTAATTCAAAAATTAGGAAAAAATCGATTAATAAAAAAAATCGATTATTTTTTTAAGAAAAATCGATTATTTATTAATTGATTATTCATGCTACAAAAATAATCGATTAATAAAAAATCGATTTTTTTATGCAGAATGTCACATCCCTAAGATTAAGTTAATAAAGGAACTAACTGTAACATTTAATTAATAAAAGGATTTTCCGTTAATAACTTAAAGACTACCTACAGCAGAAGGCGGCACCAGTGGCGTAACTATACCATCTGGGGCCCGTGGCAAATTCTTTTGATGGGGCCCTATCAATAAAAATCGTCACGTTGTACTCAGTTTAATTTAAATAAACTTCGACATCTTCAGCGTACTCAATTACATGTTGTATATATCCCACTCATGGCCAAAGGCCTCCTCTCTTTAAGAGAGAATGGTCTGAAGTCCCCACGCTAGCCCAATGCGTATTGGAGACTTCACATTCATCCATAGAAAATAATATCTCCTGGGCCCTCTTGGGTCGGGGGACCGTGGCATTTTGCCAGCCCTGCCACCTTATTGTTACGCCACTGGGCAGTCGGCGGCACTTGCCTCCATCAAACTTATGCAAGTGGTTCTATGGGGAAAAAAAATTACAGTACAAAGTACAAACGGCTATTCTAAATAGGACGATAGAATATCAACTACTCATAGGCGCGTAATATGAATCGCTAACACCACATTCTCAACAGAAAATATCATGATTGATCACAAGGGAAGAGTAACATGATCATTCCACCCTGAATGACCTACATATATACACTGAAGGCTCAAAAACAGGGTGTGGCTCCGGCGCTGTTATATCCCTCTTGATCTTAACATCAACATACATTTACCTTTAGGCACACACAGGTCGATTTTTCAATCTTAAATTCTTAATGGGTCGCTCTAACTGATAGGAATTAATAAGTAAATAGTAGTATATATAGTCCTGGAAGGAGTCAGGACGTAAAGCAACACAGGCCAAATGGGCGACTAAGGGCAGAAACTGAGTCCACACTACACTACTAAAATTGAATAAAAAATTATTATTAATTATACAATATTGACAGAGATTTAAATTAAAAACTAATAATATTAGAACATAACAGGCAGTTTAAATTAGGTATATGATTTTAGAAGTTTTCATTTTCACAAATATATAAGGACTTTATTAAACCACTCAACCAAGTATTAATGAATATTTTATAATAAATAAAATGGTAAAACAAATTTTATAATATATTGTTATAATTATACTATTTAATGATAAAACATTATTTAAATCTTTACCCACTCTTTTATTATAAACATATACAATTAGTGTACATTCTTTGGAATTCAGCACTGCTTAAGAAACATTATTTTTGGTGCATTAGCACACCTAACAATTATAAAATAATCAATGTTTAAACATATCACACAATAGATCCATACACTATATAAAATTTATATTCATCAAAAATATTAATAAAATAATTTAATGCCCTAAATGTTTTTATTTACAAACCAAATTATACTTTTGTATGGAAATTCTGTGCACAAGGCAGCTACATTTCTGGATCTGTTTGAATAATTGTTTTATTCATAACTTTAAATATCTTGTAACACACAATGTGTCTAAGACATGCTACTTTTCTTAAGATGTCTTTCTTTAACAGTATCAACTTTAATTGTAAAAATAGAAGAATGTAATAGCGCACCTTGTGAATGCATGACTTAGGGAATCATACACTTCGCCACAAGGCTGACACTGGCTATTAAAGTTATACTTGACAACCAGTCATATTCAAAACTGTTACATAAAAACATATAGTTTTTTATTGGCTAATATTCAAAATATGTTTATGAGACTTACAGAGTTATAAGACTGTTTCATAAGCCAAGTATAAGATGAGATATTTTTAAATTCAAACTGTATGTTTATCCCTTACAGGTTCATTCAAAACCAGTGGTATGTCACCACCAATATTTCTTGGGACCCAACCAGCAGACTCCTCTTCTAATCTCTTATTTTCCTCTTGAATGCGCTCATATTCATTTATCTCAATTTGATACTTTGGAGTTGTGATACCAAAGAAATCAGCCAATGTTTCTCCAGCATAGTCAACTACATTTAATAATTTGGTACCAGATTTCCATGTGTAGTAAGAGATCCAAGGACCCCAAGAGAGAGTTTGCTGAAATTATATAAAAATAATTAATATTAAATCTGAAAATATTTCTTTTACTATAATACTAGTAGAATTAGTTAAATTATAAACTATTCATACATTTTTAACTTCAACAATTTAGAGTACTTCAACTTGATATGTATATATGTTATACTGTATGGAAAATTCTTCCTGTACTGTGGGTAATCTCAAAATAGTTTTAAAAAATCCCATTTAAAAAAAAACAGATACTTCGTACTAACATTCTTTATTTAATAAGAAACACAAGCATTTATTAAATAAGAAAATAAGACATATATTTAACATTATATTCAAAATTTAGCTACTAAAAAAAACTAAATATAATTTGAGACCGAACTATTGTAACACAAAGTTAAATTTAAACTTACAGGCTCAATATTTTCTACTTCATTTGGAAAGATATTAATTTCATCTAACTTTGTTTCCTCGATTTCCTCTTCAACGCCATCACAGCAGTGAATAACTCTCACTGGTTTGTTTATTATCATCACATCTACTTGGTCTCGGTTTACATCTGCCTTAGGCGTATTCATTGTATTTGAAGATGTTGGGAAGCTACCCAGTACCCACGTTAACACTAGTGCAACAATGACGCTGTTTAAATTTTTACTAACTTTAATGTGCAAGATTTGTTTTACAGTATAGTTCGCTAATTGCTTTCTTTCCTAACCACAATGGGTACGAAAGTCGAAACTACGAACTACGAAGTTAAGTTACTAATTACTATTCAAATTTCAATAACAATCTCCTATTCTTTTAGATTTGACAGCTGACAATTGAGTGTTGACAGGAGCGCATTTTAAACAAATAAAAAGTGGTAACACCAAGACCTTTTTCAAAGGCTACAACAGGGCTGCCAGATGTACGATTTAAATCGTACTTGTACGATTTTTTGTCATTTTTACTCATGTACGATCGCTAGACCAAGATCGTACATAAAATGTACGATTATTCTGTACCTGGCAACATTTCGTAATGAAACGAATATATACTCCACCGGCAAGTATTATGTTTGGGGATTTCCCCAACAACCTAACGTATGCTTAGACCTTTTACGTCTAAAGACCCTTTTTTTATATGAAGTCTATATTTGTGTGCATTGTAACAAAACTTATTATTTTTCTCTTGTAAATACCTGTATTGGAATAGTCAAAAACCTGTTTTTCTCATCAGTCTCTAGCTCTAAGTGATTATACTATCCTCTTTTGATCTGCATATTGTCTTTAGGGGTTTTTGTGCTATACGCTTAAGCGTATAGCACAAAAATTGCTTAACAAGAATGCTTAAGCAAATTGCTTAAGCAAGAATGGGTAGTGAAAATGAAGAAGACCGACCTGCGCCAGGTACTCCAAAAAAGAAATTAGCCAAAAGAGGAGAGCTTTCTACAACACAGGTCATTGAGGAACAAACACAGAGCACAGAAGTAACGTCCCGATCGGGAAAAATTTGATTTATTTACGGACCGGTTAGGGCCCGGTAAAAACCAATTTAAAGCCAGGTGGACTGTGTGTGACGTCGAAATAGTTTCAGAATATGGAGTTTTAAAGTAACACTCTTCAAGGCAAAGGCAGCTACTTATTTTAAATAAAAACTTTCCACTTTTTTGTTGTACGATCTTTTCGTTTCAAAATTTCCTTGGTGTACGATTTTTTAATAGTTGGTGTACGATCATGCGTTTTTTTCACCTGGCAGCCCTGGGCTACAATATCTCTGTAATTCCGGCTAATAAATAAATTTAAAAAAAAAAAAAAAAAAAAATATCTCTGTAGTCTGTTTTATAAATTCATAATAGAAAAATATTGTTTATATACCTATTGGCCTATATACCGTTACAAAATTGTTAAAATTTAATATTTTATATATAATCAATATAAATAAATAATTTAAAAGCTATACTTTTAAACACTATATCTATAGTGTTTAAAAGTAAACAGTAGTGAGAAGAGTTTAGTGAAATTATTAATTAAACTCAGGCGTTTCAAGTGCATTATACTTGAAGAAGTTGTGGAATTTAGAGCATTCCCTTGAATGTAATTAGAAACTTGGAAAACTATAACTTAAACATAATCAAAGACTCAAGCACGTACATGTACATTAATACTTGGTAATCATCAAAAATGGAAGGTAGATGCAGAAGTTGTTTATTAGAATGTAATGATGATTCAGAATTATTTAAATATTCGGAGAAAAACCGACGCCGTTTTGTATACTCCACAGGAATTCAGGTAATACATATTTAACTACTACTTCTAGTCTAAACACATATAAGCTAGACTTAGAAGATATCAACAAAAAGATATGATATTTTTGATGATTCTTATAGAATGGTTTCATTTATTATAATAATCCTTATGTATTACAGGTTAAACGCGATGATCTGTTAATATTTCAACTGTGCAAAGAATGTCATTCAAACATGAAAGTGGCTTGTAAATTTAGAAAATCATGTCGGTCGTCTGACCGTATATTTAATTCTTATGTGCAAGCAAAGGAATTAGAAGATAATATTGACTTTGACACATTTATTAAAGGACACGATGATTCAATTAAATTAAGGTAAAGAAGCTGCAATAATGCTATGTAAGGAATCCACATATACAGTTAAAAACCATCTATATGATTTTTTATTATTTAAGTGTTCATGTTATGTTAATACATATTTATATAATTTTATTTTTTCAACTAAATGTTATTACATACAACCTTAATGCAAATTTCAATGGGTTCTTATTATTAAAAAAATTCTATTCTATTTCGATGTCCAAACCATAAAATGGAATGAAAACTCTTTCAGGTTACCACAAAACTTGCAGAATAGTACACCAAATCATAATAAAAATAAAGATGTTGATAACGGTTAGTACATGTGTGCATAATCATTGATAATTAAATGATTAGGTACAAAATTTTAATTTTAAATAATAAAATATTTAAGTTAATTCTAAATTTTTTTAAAGATTTTCATACTGAATGACTATTTAACATTTTATTTTTTTATTTGCTTAACAGTATTCCTACAGCTACTTACGAGTACTATACAATATTAAAAAAATTACACTATACACAAGCCAAAAACGGAATACAATTTTGATGGCATAATTTAGTGCTTAAAACACTCAGTTACCTGAAACAAATATTTTATATTGTCAAAGACAAACAACAATTAATTACGGTATACTGAACTCAGATTGTTCTTCATCACTTTAATATTTTTTCAGTTTCAACAACAACAAGTATGCGCAACTTCTTAACTGATGTAACTCATGATATTCCGGACAATGAAGCTCGTATTATTAATGAAGTTATTCAAGAGGAAGCTGATATATCTGATGTGTCCATTGACTCCCATTGGCTTCAAGATGAAGCTTCCGTAGTATCTGATTTTAGATTTGACTTTGGGTAAGAGGATTTTCTATCTTCGCGCGACTTAAGACTCTTTGAGAACAATAATAACCTAATGATGGGGAATTATAGTAGGTGCAACTTACAAAAATCTTAGTATGTCATTAAATTTGTTTTAATAGGCATAAAACACACTTGGTTTTTGTACTATTAATAATGAATTTAAGTAATGATTGAAGTCGGCTAAAAAATACAGTGTTATATTTTGCTCTCTAAAATATGTCATATCCGGGGGCACGGCAGTGCGCCCGCCAAGTCGATCCAAAAAGCGGCTCGGCTTTTTCTTTTTTCCTATCCTTTTCTCAAAGCAGTTCAGACCATTGTCGACCCCCTATAAGTTAGTTAGGAGAAATTAGAACCTTATTTTTAAACTGCAGTGACCAAACAGGAATTGTATAAACACGATATATTTTAAATTTCATTCAATTTCAAACAGAAGTTTAAGAATTATGACTTTCTTAATTTTGTCACTTACTGACAGAACGATCATCAATACTCTATGGCTAGCCGCACACACAAAATAATATTGTCAATGCAAGATTGTCAATAATCTTCTAGCAAACATAGAAGCTTCAAATTAAGAATACAATTCGTTTTTAGTGTATAAATCATTGAAAAATATGTATGAACATATGGATATGTTTTATCTTAACAAATATTTATATTTTCAGTTTGAGCCCATTTTCAACACATTCCATTGCAAATGATCATTGTTATACATTACCATATGAATTTAATCATGAAAATTTTAAAAATAAATTACCTTTAAATCAAATACTTTATAATGAAAATAATCAAGAAAAAAATTTACAAATAAATAGAAATGATACAACAAGATGTGTTATTGATAAGAATTTAGATAAAGCTTTGCTAGACGAGAGCACTGATCGGATTGCATTAGAAGATTTACTTGCAACACCACCAAGTTAGTAACCATTTTAAATATTACTGAAAGAATGGTAAAGTTAGCTTCATATTTATAACAACATACACTTTGTTATACACTGAGTTTAAGCTGTTTTTTTTTATACAAAATACTGAGATTATACAGAACTTCTTTAAAGATATCGCCATATTATACTGTCATATAATCCCGTGAACCTTCTTTTAATTGAACAATAACCCGCTGTTTTTATTTTACAATTACAGTTGTCTCAAACGCTTGGGCGCCATCTACACCTACAATAAATAACATATTATTTGGAGATAAACTTGATGATGATATTAAGAAATCCGGTCAAAATATTGAACAATACAAAGAAGTTCAAGGTACAATTGATGTATTGGACGAATTCTTAAATTTAAACAACTTTGAAGACAAAGTATATGATTCAGTAAAAGAAAATGGTGTAATAGAGACTAGTTTAAAAGAATATAAAGAAAATTATGAATTAGATACAAACTTAAGAACTGAAGAAAATGGTAATGAAAATCAAGATTGGTTTGAGGACACAAATGCAATTGAATCTATAGAATCATCAATAACTGATGATATAACACAAAATGGAAAACATGTTATTATTGAAGAAAGTGATAATAAAATACGTATAAAAATAAAACGTAAAACGGACGGTAGTCTTAAGAAAATCGATAAAAATAATGAAGAGCTTAATAAATTAAATCCAGTTAAAATAAGTGATAATGAAAAAGATAGTCGGCCTCCCAATGAAGATGAGTGTTGTTTAAAAGAACTGTTGTGTAAAATATGTGATAAGAAGTTTGATAAATTGAGATTTCTCAAAATACACTTTACAAAGAAACATAACTTGAGAATTAATCCATGTATTAAGAGTCAAGTGAAACGTATATGTGCCTATTGTGGACTCGAGACTAAGCAAAGTCTATCTAGATTTTTGAAGCACATTGATACACATGTGGTAAGTATTTCGATAATTTCTCTTTTGATTTCATGTTCAATATTAATGGTTTGGAAGGCAATGAAGTTTCTCGTATGTTTTTTTATTTATTATATTTTATTTGACAGTGACAGCTAGCTACTGTATACCGAGTCCATTTTTAACACTACTGGAAGGATTTTAACATGTTGAGTAACTAATTAAATTTCTTTGAATATTGCTAATATTGAATTATGTGCAAAATCGACTTAATGAAAACATAAATCTCTTGAAATAATAAACTAATGACTCCCTTCTGTCAAAAGCCATACAAATTTGTATTCAGAGACGCTCGCATAAACTTGGGCTAATCAAGTTTATGCCAAGTGATGGAAATCTATAATTTGACCAATCTTCTTCTGTCTTAACGACGCTGAATAAATAAATTAATTTATATTTAAAATTATGTTTTGCACTTCTATTTTAAGGGGTAAAAAAACTATGTTTTAATTGAAATTATTTTATCTTTACAGTTCTACACTTAATAAAACACTATTTTGACCGGATTGAAGTTATGTATTATTATAAATTTACAACTATTTAACATAATTTTAAATTTATCCGACGTTTCGCGTGCGTGGTCACGGTGGAGAGTTCTACACTCTCAAATTCATATTCCTTGCACTTTTTTTTTCAAAGAATACATTATTTTATTTTTATATGGCTTCACAGATTAGTAAAATGTTGACTTCTTTTTTTATTTTATGGTTTTCTCTGTAATCATACCAAAAACAGTAGCACAATGTTCCTAAATACTATAGTGTAAACTTGGCTTAGCCTGACTTAACCGTCTTACAAAAACGTTTCCGAATCTCAGCCAGTATTTTAATTACTGCTTTCAAATTTTGTCTTGACTTTTGTTAGGTCTTGTTTCTCTATGTAGTTGGCTTTTTGGCAGCGCTCAAAACATTTTTGAATTTTGATTTTGTTTTTAAGTTTGGATGTAGATTTTCTAATAACCCATCCTTAATATAAGTAATCCTTATATAATGATGATATACAATAACTATATTTACATTTGTTTAAAATATAACACCTGAGGTTCACCTGTTATCACATGGACACACTGCAAATGCGTTGCCGACCTTTAAGAATTAATTAAAGGTTTCAAGTATTTTCAACCATCGCTGAAACGTATCTAGACATTTAAATGAGTTAAATAAATTTTAATGTGTTATCTTAGAGACAATATAAGGAATTGTTTCAGAACAAAGTGTCATATTCGTGTAAGAAATGCAGTTTTACATTCAGTACTAAACGGCGATTGATAACGCATGAAAATGTACACAAAGGAGTGTCAGATGCAAAACCAGTCGTTAAGCAGAAGGTATGCCATTACGTCACTCATTTAACGTAAAAATTTCTGATTCGCCAAATTGACTCCACTTTACACCCTTTCTTTCCATATAAGTAACAGTATAGTGTCCACTGTCAAATTCGAAATCAAGTGGCTTGGGTGTGCGACTCTCATCCCTAACGTCGTAGATTCGATCTCCGGCCGTGCCAATGGACTTTCTATGTGCGCAAATATAACACGGTCGTACGGTGACGAAAAACATCGTGAGGAAACCGGCATGTCCAAAAATGGAAGGCAGAAGCATGATCACCTACTTGCCTATGAGATAAAAACCTGGCCAAGACCCAGATAGGGTTGTAGCGCCACTGGATTATTATCGGTCTCTTTAGGGGGTTTGTCGTTAAATCGATGGACCTTACATGGAGTTTAACTGTATTGCAACCGCTCACGGTAACGGCAATTTTTTTTAATTTGTTTTATCTGAATTTTAATATGTGATGATTTTTTTAACACAGACATTAAAATGGATAGGCCTTTTAAGCATGAATTTTTTGTACTTGGGTCATACACGATCTTAAGGCAAACGCGTTTTTAATATATTCTTATGCATATATAGTATTTTTTTTTGTAGAAAATAATGTGTGATATATGCGGTAGGGCATATACATCGTCGAACTATCACGTGCATATGCGAAGACATTTAAAGGACTACGCGTATAATTGTGTAGAATGCGATGCCGGATTTTATAGGAGAACTGATTTGACATTACATATGAGGTACACTTCACAATAAATGGTGGTTGATATTTTTTTGTGTTTGTGAGTTGCTACAGCTAATCTGAGTTGCTGCTTATTGCTTTTTAACTGGTGTTGTATAACTTTAACAAAAAGTTAATCTTACTTTTAAACCTTCACCGGTACTATGTTACTAAGTAAATATGCGATTCCGACTTTAATATTTAGTTTTGGTACCAAGGTTCATCGGGGCTATTGATAATGACATAACAAATGATCAAAATTGATAATATATTGGAATCTACGACTATTTCTTATCACCAATGAAACCGACAGAGTACCGGTTTGGGAATTACATTAGCTAACGCTTTGTCACGTGACCATTTTCGTTAGTGGGTCACGCCTGTCAAAATGTGATTTAGTCTCAAGCCCCAGGGCTGTTATAGGGCAGGGTAAAAATAAATATACCCTACTCAGGGAATGTAAATAAAATGATTTTGAAAATGGTCCAGTAGTTTTACGATTACATATTATTATAGCGACGTAGTTGTAATAACTGTCATTTAAAGAATTATTGACATATATTTTCCCACAGAACTCACACAGGTGAACGGCCCATGACTTGTACATTCTGTAGCAAATCATTTAAAAGACGAGATATTCTCAATGTCCACATTAGAAGGCACACGGGTAAGTCTTTTTTACCGGTTTTTTAGCCCAGTGTTATCTATCCAAACCGGCATTTTAATTTTTTCCTAGCTGCCCAAAACCGGTTTTTTACAGCTTATAACGCCAGCCTTGCGCGTAACATATGTTGCTTAGAGCCTAGTGGCATTCAATATTAAAAGTATTATATTATTATCATTGAATTACAAAAAATATACAATTATTTTAGTTATAATAATGAAAAATGCATTCTCTTATGTTATGAAAGGGATCCAGAAACATCATGTATATATATATATATACAGTCAAAACCGGTTATAACGACATTGAAGGGACCGTATAGTTGCCGACGTTATATCCGATAGTCGTTATAAGCAATGTCATATACACAAGTACAGTACATATGTATGTACATAGTTATCGATCTAAAATAGGTAGGTATGGGTTGTAATATGGTATGTTAATATTATAATATGTAAACGAGTCAAAAAAGAAACAAAAATATTTATTACGAAATAATTAGGTACAAAAGTAATCAGTCAGTCTGGTTTTTTTTAGCCCAGTCTCATATATTTTTTGCATTTTACGTTTCATACTCTTCAAGGTATGAGTATCACCAGTATCAAACTGTTCGTTAAAGGCAACAAATTTTTGCAAAATCGTTACAGCGTTAAGAGCCTCGGAAATCGTTGTTGGCTGAAACTGTTCGTTGGGAGAAAGTGCGTAGGTAATAATATGCCTAAATATTCATTCAATGCTTATAAATAAAATTTAAAATCGTTTATATTGTTTTGTTTTACTGAGACAAGAAGCGGTTGGTCGTTATATTCGATGAATATCGATAAACTTTCGTCGTTGTAAGCGATATGTCGCTGTATCCGATGTTGTTATAAGCGGTTTCTTTACTGAACAGTTTACTAGGGATTCGGACGGGACCATACAATCTGGTTGTAATAACCGATAGGTCGTTGTAAACGATGTCGTTATAAACGGTTTTGACTGTATATATATATATATATATATATATATATATATATATATATATATAGGGATAAATGTATATTAATTACGAAAGTTAATCTACAATAAATGGTTTTTAGATGTAACATAAGACACAAATGATTTATTTAATAATTATTTTTAGGGGAGAGGCCTTTTAAATGTGATATCTGTGATAAAACTTTTACGACAAAACACAATTTGATGACACATCAATCTCGCGCCAAGGATTGTCTTATGCTACAAGAAAAACTCGCTTTTCCTAATGGTATGCAAGGTATACCATGATGTATCAATGGAATAAAAAAAAATTTTACTAAACCGTGTTTTATTTGCAATATTAGGGTTGGATTTAGAATTACGTCGCCAGAATTTCTCTACGAAATCGCTACGGTTTTAAAATAACACTCTAGCCCGTAAAACAGACTATAAATATGAAAAAATCGATTATTTTTTATGCAGAATGTCATATCTCTAATAACCAAAAGTAGAAAATGTACGGTTTGTTTATGAATTTCAATACATTACACAAAATTTTAAATAATTTTTTAATACAGTTGCTCAAAAAGTGGCGTATTGCAGGGACGTATAGCGTTCGGGATGTGGGCTATTACACACTCGTGCTTTTTTTTACCTTTTCCGAACTAGTGCGTTTTCTTTCCCAACTGTCAAAATAATGTCTATTAAAAAGAAAAAACCAACCACGATGTTTTTACTAAAAAAAAATCATAGAAATTTTTATGATTCATGCAAATATTTCTAAAAAGAAGCTACTGCTTTGTTTCAATATAAGATTTAATGATTTGATTCAATGAGTTAGGTTAGATTTCATTTCATATCAATAAAAAATTGTACTGAAGACTTGGCTGTATGGGCATAGTTCCCTTTGCCTACCCAGAATGGGTGAAGAAAAAAAAAATCTGCTTATATTCTTTTACGGTTGGCGCCATTGTCCAAAAATGTTCTTTGCGCGTTTAGTTGTTTGTTATATTATATATTAAATATACATGAAAAATCATACGAAATAAATAATAGTTTGTCTCAAACAGTAAATAAATATGCAACCTAAAACTTCTCCAGTTAGTATAAAAAACTTTACTAATGTATATGTGAACAATAATTTGTATAAGAAATAAATGATTAGTGAGTTGAGTTTATTGTTTTTTTTATTATTTTATTAAATTGCATAATTTTTTCGCAACTGTATTAAAAATAGTTGTTCAGTACACGTGCGGAACCGTCATTGCAACTTGTTCCGACTGTCAACCCTCACCTTCGGCTCGGGTAGACATTTGTCGAAACTCTGCAATGACAGGCTTTCCGCACTTGTAATGAAATATACTATTTTTTAATAATCAGACGACACTCCGGCAGCAAAAACCACTTGGAGGTATTCGAATCAAGGTCCCCCGAGACACCTACATAATCAGTATCATAAAATTCGGGCGACGGATTTCTAAATCGTTACCGTTATATGACGCTAATAATCAAAATACTATTTATTCGTGTAGGTAGCTTGATGTAGTTATGGAAGAAAAAAAACTTGTAGTTACATTTAATTTCTTAAATCAATGGCGTAGAACGGACGAGACGAACTCTCCATCACTCTTTTAAATCGCCAAAATTTTAGTTTTACAAAATATGTGAAAGAAGCTGGTCGGCCTATAGAGGTAGGTATGAAATAAAATAAAATATGTTTATTATGGAACATAAGATACATGTATCACTTATTCCACGTCATTAAATTTGAAGGCATCCCTACTCATCGGCAAAGAAGACAGAGGGTGTAGGCCGAGAGAAAAAGCCGGCGTAAAAAACTCTCGGTACTCTTTTAAAACAGCAAATCATCAAACAACACTTATTTAAAACAAATATCGCAAATTGATTAGAAGTAGCCTGTCTAGCACTAGTCCCAGGCCCTTTTATCAACTAGATAATCGTTGACTTTATAGTAAGCCTTTTTACACAGCTTTTCTTTAATACATTTCTTAAATTTATTGAAAGGCAGTGATAAAAGAGCCTCTGGGATTTTATTAAAGAAGAGTATCCCTTTCCCCAAAAAAGAATTACTAACTTTAGATAGTCTAGTACGGGGAAATTGCAGCCTGCGTTTGTTCCGTGTATTAACATTGTGCGTATGTTCTATTCTAGTAAACTTATCACTATTTTTGTATACATACATAATATTTTCATAAATATATTGCGAGGGAAAGGTAAGTATATTAATTTCCTTGAATTTATCTCTAAGAGATTCCCTACATTTTAAATTATAGATTGCACGAATAGCCCTCTTCTGCAGGATGAAAATAGTTTCGACATCAGCAGCATGACCCCATAATAATAAGCCATAAGTCATTAAGCTATGAAAGTAACTAAAATAAACAAGTCTAGCTGTATCGACATCAGTTAGTGAGCGAATTTTTTTAACCGCGTAGGCTGCAGAACTAAGTCTCTTCGCCAATCCGTTAATATGAGGGGACCACTGAAGTTTTGAATCCATGGTGATTCCGAGAAATACAGTTGTATCATCCAGATTCAATTCCTCACCGTTTATAATTGGTCTAGTATCCATAACCCTTGCATTTTTGCACAAAATTTAATGCATTTTGTCTTTTTTGCATTAAGTAGAAGGTTATTCATACTAAACCAATGGACAATCGAAGACAGAGCATTGTTCACATCGTCAAAATTTGTTATTTGTCGTTTGATTTTAAAAATCAAGGACGTGTCATCAGCAAACAAAACTATCTGATGTTTTCTCTCTACCATGAAAGGTAGATCATTTATATAAACAAGAAAGAGGAAAGGGCCAAGAATTGAGCCCTGTGGTACCCCATATCTACTGCCGACCCAGAGGACCTCTTACCATTCACTTCAACCTTCTGAGTTCTTCCGTGTAAATAGGAAGTCAGAAGATTCAGTCCGGTATTCTTGATGCCATAGTGGCGGAGTTTCCCGATTAAGGTCTCGTGTTGGACACAATCAAATGCTTTGGATAAGTCGCAGAAAACACCTAAAGCGTCATGCGACTCCTCCCAAGCCTTAACTATATATCTATATAACTCAACACCGGCATCGGCTGTCGAGCGACCCTTGGTAAAACCGAACTGATTATTATGTAATAATTTGTTTACGTTAAAATGACTTACCAGTTGATTTAATATAATTTTTTCAAATATTTTACTACAAGTAGGTAGTACGGAAATTGGTCTAAAGTTACTGGGGTCGGACATACTACCTGCTTTAAATAAAGGAATAACTTTACTATGTTTCATTAGATCGGGAAACTCGCCACTTTTAATACAATTGTTGAAAATAATAGCTAGATGGGGAGCAATTACATCAATTATGCTACTAATTATTTTTACAGATTTACCCCAAAGATCGGTAGTGTTCTTAATATCTATGGTTCTAAATATCCTCACTATATCGTCGGCACCAATGGGTCGGAATGAAAAACTGACCTTGCACTCGTTTACATTATCTTAATGAGGGTGACTGGTATTCACAAAAACCCACAGCTTTCATAGTTGCATTGCTAGCCTTTCAAGAAGAGTTCTAGGGAAGCTGATTCTATAGTTCGTGAAACGAAATGCGAACTGGAACATTTCTACCTATCGAGATAGTATCCACAATTTTGTTAATAATTTTATTAGGTATATGAAATTAGTTAGCTAAATAATTACTCTAAAACCCCCTTAGGAAGGTACGTTCTGGTAGAAGAGAGCAACTGGATATTAGTCAGACATCACTTTAGCCAGCTTCTTATAACCTAATTTAAAATACATAACCGTAATTATAAGTTAAATAAACTCCGTTGAGATTTTGCCTTTATAGTGATAAAACAAAAAGTTTTAATATAGAATATCGAAGCAACATTTTATCTAAGACGGTTTAGTTATTATTTAAATGCATTCAATAATTTAATACACGGGGTTAATGGATATAATATTGATGTTTCTATATATGTTGAATCTAATTACTAAATCCATATAAAAAAGGCTAGCCTTCAAAATATGATTCTTGCAAGAGTATTAATGGAGGTTGACAGTTGACACCGTGAAGTATGTACTCACAAGCTTAAAAAAGATATTTGGTTTGGCTCTGGAAAATGCAAAAAAGGATAGCAATTAAAACAATAACGTCTACAACGTCATATAATTTATTCATGAACGCTTAGACCTAAGAGCACTAATAATCTCTCATCAGTGCCATTAGATTGTAGTGATATGGAACAATTATATACAAAAATAACAATGGTCTCATACACATAGGCACTTCTATATAACAACGGCGCTGCAAATTCATAATTTTGAGTGAGAAATAATACTTTTATGATAAAGATCACCGTTTATAGCCTAATAGTAATATATTGTTGGGGTTAAGGGAGCAATTTCTTGTGGAATTATTTCATTTGAAATATAAAGTTTTTTGCCTGTACTTTGTATGGTTAAAGCTATTAATAAAAAAAAAAAATTCTAATTTTACATTAAAACTAGTAATAAAAAGTAAGAAGCTCCTCTAACCCTAGTGGAAATATATAAATTTTTATATTACTTTCATACCAAATCACTTTTAAGTTTTCATATTTGTACCAAACAAGTAATTGAAGCTATATTTAATCAATTATTTCAAATAAGCTTCAATATAAAACAGATATTAACCATCGCATATTATTAAGGCCACCATTCTGTTAAATAATTCATTTTTCGGTTTAAATGGTTACCGGCTTTAATTGTTAACTAGCAACACCGTCTGATATTTTGTTACACTATTTTCACAATTCCACCAATCCAAAAACACATTCATATAACATAACTAAAATTTAGAATTTCAATAAAAAAGACAACATGATTTTACAAAAACCTAAACTTACTCTGACGTAAAAAAAAGTCTACAATCTAATTAATCTTATAAAATAATGTTCAAATTGAACAGAATGGCTGTGATAACTTGTCTAATCTCTATAACTTAATTGCATCATGTGATTAAGGGTCCTTTTGTGAATAACTTTACAACTTGTATTTCAAAATATTAGTTAAAAGTGTTCGTACAAATAAATTATAGAGATTGGTCAAAGAGTTCCAGCCAATTTTGGCCCATTACGGCTTATTAGTTATTTAGGTGCCCTGTAGTTCATTAAACTTATATTTGCTTTTAAACTACCAATCGATACAATTATTAATTTCTTTTAAAGTTGACAAATAAATCTCAATCATTAAACTTTTGAGATATAAATGTAATGAATAAAGAAAAATAAATTTGCATGAAGTTTAAATTAAAAAGTTTCTTAAATTAATTTAAATGATGGTAACTTATAAAGCAACATCATATAAATATAGTTAAATTTGTTTGAAGTGTTAGCATGGAGCGAAAAAATCCAGCACCTCACACCATAACACTAAACAAAAGCAATAACATTAGGAAATATTATTTTTATAAATTGCTACAGATATCCATCCTAAAGCCCATCATAAAAAAATAAAACAGTTCTGAGATGCTATCATGATGTACATCTCTAGGATTGCCATATTGCAATCAGTTGTAGTAAAAATAACAACCAGAACTGACTTGTAATAAAAACTTTGTGTACATGAAAAAAATATATATGCATTATATTTATCTTGTCTTTTTTTCCTGACAACCTAAACATTATTTGACAAAAAGACACATTTGATAAAATAGTGAAAACTGCTTAGTTTTATTCAATTATGGAGTTAACATAAAGTACAACTTAATTCAGTTAATCTAGTGTGTGTGTTAAATGTTTTCTTACCTTATTTAATTTTATCTACTATTTGTATTATTATTCTTTATCTACCGAATTACCATTACTTACTTTAGGGCCTTAGGACGAAATCAACCAAAATCACTTCAATTGTAAACATAACACTTCACAATCCACAAGGTCACTATCATTATATACACTAGGACTTCTGTCCTTTGGCCCGTTGTAAATTTGCCACTATACAGTTGTCAGCCAACTGTATACGCATTGAAGAGTTCTCTTTTCGTAATTCTGACAGCTCCTTGTTAAGCCTTAACACTTCTAGTACTAGCTTGGCATTCTCTTTTTCAACTTGTTCTAATCTGAAAAGGGTGTTCAATTAAAACTTTGTATACCAAAAACATGTTTTGTTCTGAATTCTGAACAAAAAAGTAAAGAACATATTTTAAGGAATTGGACTAATGCATATTTTATGGCTAAGGGATAATTTACTTAAGCATAAATCATATTTGTAAGTTACCCTAAGGTCATCACAAAATTCAACTTACTTCTTAGTCTTCATAGTGAGATCAGCAATGTGGTCACATGCTTTTGCCAGGATACCTCCTTTACTTGCAGTATCTGCTTGGCCACAGTTAGGTATCATGTCTGCTATCTTTGTAATCCAGCTGTTAATTTTGTCCCTTCTCCGTCTTTCAACTTCATTATGGGTGGCTCTTCTTTTATCATCACGCTGAAATCAATGCTTACATTACAATTGCATTTCTTATGAACTGAGCAGTCAGTCTAATTATATTCTTAACTAAAGTACTGTTTCACTTCTTTTTGTCGAATTGTGTTTATGCTGTGATGAATAGTGACATATAAGTCTATGATACGATAAGACATATGACTATAGAGTTAAAATGGTGCAATTATGTGTTTAAACTAAACTTGAGTTTATTTTTAAAACTCAAGTTTAGTATTACAAATATCTTTCAAAAAGCAAAAACTTTTAAACAAATTCAACAAGCTGTTAGCAAGTAAAGACAGGAATTAATTAGCAAATTGTGCGATAATATAAGTGTTGCGGCTGCAAAGTATTTAGTCACACCACATCTTGAAACAACACTTATGCATTGGAATGGTTAAATAATTTAGATAGGATCTACAATCTCCGATTTAACTAGTAAGCCTTAATGATTTTCATTTAGGAATTATAATGCTATAACTGTACCATGCACTAGTAAACTTTATCTGCAAACAAGCTTTTTAAACATTACCTTTTTAGCAGTAGCAGCTTTAGCTTGCAATGGTTCTCTTTTGATTGGTTTCTTTTGAGAATCTGAGCTAAAAACCTCTACTGGGTTATTTATTATATAGAATTCTCCACTTGGAATAACTGAAATGGTTTAAAATTTCATGAAATACTTGTACTGAACCTTTATTTTTTTTAAATAGCTGATTAAACCTAATCTTTATTTTATTTCAAAATATTTGAATGATTACAACAAAAGTCAGGTCTAAAAAAGATTAATTTACTTCAATTTACGATTAACTAAACCGAGTTTATTCTAATGCAGGCAGTGAGTTTTGAGCAAAGAGATAGATAAATATACCACTGGCACATGAACATACATAAATGTTATAACTATACTCACGATGAGTTGGTGATTCTGAAGTCATATTGTTTGTTGGCTCTTCTTCATCCATTTGCACTATTTTGTAAGCCACAGAACCAGCTAAAATAAAAATGAACTTATCAAGGCAATTATGTTTTTTACTTTAATTACTAAAGTTATCCATTATTTTGTTAAAATTACTAATGAGATGAAATACAAATAGACAAAAATCACTCACATAAATCTCTAAAGTTATAAGAGGAACTGTCCTCGTCTTCATTACCTTCTAAATACGTGTGAGTTACTAATTGTGGTCTTTCGCTGGTTACACTTCCTGGAATATAATTCAATTTACATTGTTATGCGATAATTCAATAAAAATCAGTAATCACTTGATTCTATACTAAGATAATTAAATTGTCCTGGCAAAGCATGTATTTGTAAACAAATACACATGTTTATCCAATTTACTTAACTCACCATATGCAGGTTCTTCTACTAAATCCAAAAACTCTCTATCATCACTGAAATGAATTATTTACTGTTTAATTGCAACTATTATATCAAAATGTTGAATACAATCCAGGCTAACGCTGCCAAATCACAATGATTAAAAAGTTGACCTTCACACGATTACAGTTATGTAATTAGATTATATTTGGTCCCAATTTATTCTTGTTAAGTGAATTTTAATACCTGTCAATTGAATCTTCATGTAATTCTATTTCAACTTTTTCAATTTTAGCCATTGCGCTTTATTATTTTTGAATTTTCTCAATTTGATCACGGGAACAAAATAAAGGGTCATGTGATGAAACCAAAGACAATTTTAGACAGATAATCGATAGTTGGTAGCGGCATACCTTGAACCACAGCTTATAAATTATATTGTTGTTTACAGTAGTTCAACAAGACTACTAGGTGGCGTTAAATAACATATTTTGCGAACTTTCTTCGCTTAAAGTTATAAAATGGAATACGTCTCACATGTGTTTTTTTAAATATACGTAGCTGTGTGATTAATAATAATGTGCGAAGCTGTATAGACGTTTGCGTCAAATATTACCACGAAAATTTTTCAGCAATTTCTGCTGGTGCAACACTTCACGTATTTTTAAAATTATTTGATATATCAGTGTTTTACGAATAGCGTTTACGCTTTGTTAAATTAATAATTGGTCTGCTAAAATTATAAAATACACCTAAACATTTTCAGGTCAAAAACATGCAATTAATGCCACACGATGGAAAATTACAAATAGGTGCTCATCTCTTTTTTAGGCCTCCTACGCACTGGCGACCATGGTCGCCGCGACCTAGCCGCGGCGGCCAGTGAATTCTGGACTTTATATGGCAATCGCTATAGCCCCTACGCACTTAGCGGCCAGCGACCAGCGGCCACCGTTGGCCGCGGCGTCCAATTTGATGCCACGCGACCAGCGACCAATCGTGGCCGTCGAGAACATCACTTCTGTATTAAAATTCATCAGTGCTACCGCATCGGCCGCGGCGACCAGACGTGTAGCTAGCTACAGAGTGATTATTTTACAATGGCCAATTTCGACACGGAAAGGTTCATAATTGAAGTTGAAAATAGAAGAGGTTTATGGGATTTAGCATCAAATGATTACTCCAATAAAGATGTTAAGCGGCAGTTGTGGCTTGAAGTGGTCGATATATTTGGCGGTGAATCCATGGAAGATAAAGAAAAGGCAGAACTTGGTTAGTATTTTATTTTATTATGCCTAAGTAAATTAATAATGCGATGAACTACAATAAACGCAGCAGGTGCTGTAGTAGCATTCGACACGTATATGTGACATGAGTGATTTTTTTTAAAGTTGTTCCGTTCATTCAAAATCTAAGAAATTTTAGCAAATAGGTAATTGTCAAAAGTATAACTATTTTATTTCTACTATTTTTCGCTTTGCACATGAGTTTTGACAATTATTTGCTAAAATTTCCCAGGTTTTCGTAATGATTGGAATAACTTTTTAAAAAAGATTACTCATACCGCATGTGCGTTCGACGCCATTTTGTTTACGGCGCGCAATGGCGGCTCGCGGCGAGCACCCATATATTTACAAATTGTGCCAGGGCAAGCGACCATCGGTACTGAAGTAGTTTGCGAATATATCTCGATATTCGGTTGATGTTCTATTTGCTCTATTAGGTAAACATGCAGGTATTTCTAATAAAGCCTCTGGTACAGTTAACGTGTCCTTGAAATCATATCCGTCTCTTTCTCGCACAAAATTATGAAGCACACATAGAGCTTTTATAATCACAACTGCAAATTCTTTCTTGACGTTTAGGGGTCGGTGAAGAATCTGCCATTTATTGGCTAATATTCCAAATGTACATTCAATATAGCGGCGGGCACGGGATAGTCGATAATTAAAATTAGTCTTTACATTATTCAAGTTTCTCCCAGCATACGGTCGCATCATATGTTCCGATAGTGAAAACGCCTCATCACCCACTAAAACGAACGGCATTGATTGGCCATTTTCTTTGATGGGGTTATTGCTCGGAATATCGAGATCATTATTTAAAAGCCTATGATAAAATACAGAGTCTTTGTAAATTGACGAATCACTGCATTTGCCGTATGCTCCAATATCTAAGTAAAGAAATTTATAATTTACATCACATATTGCAAGTAACACGATTGAAAAATAATTCTTGTAATTGTAATAAAGAGATCCCGAATGTTGTGGTTTGATAACTCTAATGTGCTTGCCGTCGATGGCTCCGATGCAATTAGGAAATTGGGCGTATTTTTGAAAACCTTCAGCCGTTTGAATCCACTTATCTCTGGTCAATTGTGGCATCACAATTGGTTTTAATATCTCCCATATTGCTTCACAAACATCAAATACTATTTCCGATACTGTAGGAAGCCCTATACGGTATTCATGACTTATATGAGATAAAGAACACCCAGTAGCCAAATACCTGAAAATAAAATTCACATTAATAAACATAATATTAGTTTTGTAATATGTACTACATTTATTTATTGATTTACAGGCATTACTCTCCAAAAAAAGATGGAAAAACCTTAGAGACTGTTTCACAAGAGAGCTGCGCCGTCTTAAAGATGTCAAAAGTGGTTCTGCTGCAAAACGTAAATCACAATACACCTATTTCAACCAATTACTGTTTTTGAAATCAGTGCTGGACACAAACGCAACAGAAAATAGTCTCGAAGAGGCAAGTCAAGAAAATGAAAGTGCAAGATCTTCTGATCTTGAGACTCAACAGTCTGCATCAAAGTCGCTTAGAACAAAAAGGAAGAAAAAAATACCAAACGAAGAATCCGATACAGACCCTCTAATTTCAGTTCTGCATAAGACCATAGCGACTACACAGAATGATTCAAATTGTGACAGACTGTTTCTTTTATCCCTCCTCGAAAGATTTCAAACAATCCCTGCTGCAATGAAGACCAAAGCGAAAATGGAAATCATGGAAATTATAGAAAAATACCAACCGAACTGTACACCTACAAATCGACCGAGTTATTCAGGTTATTCTACTACCAACAGGATATCAGATGATTCAAATTACAGCGATACTCATACTCATTATTCTGATATTTCTCAAAATTCAGAAATGATAGACCTATTTCCCAATTTGAATGATTAATTGTTCACAATTGCCATTTTTTAAGTTATGAAAATACAAATAATTTGATTATCTACTTCAGTTTTTTAATATTTAAAAACATGTTATAAGCAAGCCCTTTTCCTCTCCTTTTCAAAGTCGTAAAGTAGAATACTACTGAACAATAGTATAAGTGGCAAAACCTTGGTCAATGAATTATACAGGTTGTTGTGAAAAACGCAACAGTGGTGGTTTAGGGTGATTCAGAATCAAGTCTTGTATAATTCAAATTTACAAAAAAATCCGTTTAGCAGTTTAAGTAAAAAAAAAGGCCCTATCACATTATTTTTATTTTTCCTGTACACAATACTCCATTCCGAAACATCCTTTAAAATATATCACGTATTTTTTAAACATTCTGTATTTAAAAAAAGAAAAAGCTTACCTTATTGTTATTACTAATTTTTCTTCTGCTGGAATGCATTTCCGATAGTTGTTACCAGTTCCAGTAATTTTTGGTTTTATTGTATCCAGTAACAGGTTAAAAGTATTCGTTGACATTCTCATGTAATTAAAGAATCTCTTCTCATACATTTTTAAATCCAAAAAATAAGTATAATATAATCCTTTAGTCTTTCTCTCGCAAAGTAATGGATGCACCCAAAACTGTCTTTTACGTGAAATCTTCCGTTTTCGTTTTCGTAGTAAATACACAAGCACAGTTAGCGTGATTATCTTCTGCACGTCCATCTTGACACATCCTTGGAAGTCGACTGCAAATTTTTCGGCCGTCCACATGTCGCGCTTGCCTACGCACCGGCGACCATGGCCGCGGCGGCCTGGCCGCGTCTATGGTCGCCAGTGCGTAGGCAGCCTTAGCGTTTTACAGTTGATTCAGGGCACCTGCAAGAAATTAACGACGTTACTAATCTTGTATAGACTAATTGACAGTACGAAAAATAAAAATTTCGTTGTGAGTAATTCGTATAAAACATGGCTTTAAAACGTTATGGAGTAAAATAAATAATCATTAATTTTGCAAGCCATTTATAATGAAAAAACTTGATTGATTTAACGATACGTCACATGAGAGATAGTATAGACTATAGAATTTAGTCGACGATAATCGAATCGTAGCATGCTTGTTAATAATATGTCTTCGCTATACCTAATACTGTGTTGGAGTTTAATTTCTTCGGATACTGTTTTTAATAGAAATATAATATTTGTGAATTTGGTTAATTTAAGAATAATAATGTAATATTTTTTATAGGTTCTATGTCACTAATAAAAAATAAAACAGACGTCTGATGTAATGGATGGATAGCTGGTGTGTCTTCGGGGATATTACTCATAGCAACCGTGACTCGTCTTAATACTATGGGTTTTTTGTATTGTACCAATTATTACAAATCTTGTATTATCTTGTACATTAATGTAAATAAGTGCAACTGTGTCACTATGCATACTGCTAATAGATAGAGAAAGATGTTTTGTATTTATTGTAATAATTATAAATAAATTAGTTCCAATAAATTAATGATGTCTTACTTTATTTTAATAGAGTCTGTTATTATATTATCCGTGAAAGTTAGCGTGACCGCAGATCCTTTTCATACCCTTACAGTGCCCTCAGGGTACCCGAAACCCTGAATACAAAATAACTTGCTCAATTCTCCCAGGCTCACTTCTTGTTAAAACAGGTTCTTAAAATATATAACTTACTTTAATAATAAGTACACTTCTCACAGATTGTATGTTCGTACGTTAGTTTTATTATCTGTTGTTCTATAAAATATAACAAATTTTATGATTTAAAAATTATGTGGAATAATAAACAATAGTACCTAATAAAAATTGAAAAGTTGCGCTTTGATGCAATAAAGGTTAATACTATATTTAGTAAGATTTAAATATAAGTATCTTTTCACATAAAGCTAGATAAAACATTTGTCATCTTAAAGAAAAAGCCGTTGAAACGATCAAAATCGATTAACGTGTAAGTGCTTGTTATGAAAATGTTAGTAAGTTTTTTTTTCTGATATAAACAAAGTTACAGAAAAGCTAGCTGTTACTACTTAGAATAAAATCGTGAAATAATAATTTGATTAAGTACATCTTTTACATATTATAGTCTTAA